TCGGGCTCAGGGCTCGCGGCCCCGGGCTCGGCGAGGAAACCACCGCGACGGCGCAGCCTGGCCGGACCCAGCGGGTCGGGTCCCGCTCGGCGCGGGCGTAAAACCCACTTGCGCCCTAGTGCGCTCTCCGTCGCGCGCTGCGGGCGAGGGAATCTTTTCTCAAATCGAGTCAGGGACAGAGAACCTGGGCCGGGCGTGGTGGGCACACCTGTGATCCAGCACTCACTCGGGAGGCTGAGACAGGAGGATCGCCGTGAGTTCGAGGCCAGCCTGGGCTACATAGCGAGACCCAATCTCAAAAAGAAGGGAACAGAGAACGTCACCCTGACCTCGCGCGGTCCCCACTCGGTCCGGCCGGAGCGGGAGGCGCCCAACTCCCTCGGGGAGCCCTGCGCCCCACTTCCACTCGCTCCTCCGTGCTGAGCAGAGGCCGGGACGCAGCGCCCGCGCACACCCGTGGGCCGGACCTGGTCTCCACCGCCTGCTACCACCGGCCCTCCGCGCCCGGGTCCCAGGCCTCCCGCGAGGCCCGAGCTCGCCTTCGCGGCTGATCCCCAGCTTCTTGGTCCCCGCCTCAACCCTGCAGCTGCTACCCGCTGGGTATCCCCGTTGCGCGCGCCTGTCATCCCGACACTCAGGAGGCTGTGGCAGGAGGATCGCCATAAATTCGGGGCCAGCCTGAGCTACACAGTGAGACCCTGTCTCCAAAAAACTCAACAAATAAATAATAAAAGCTCCAAGGGGAACGAGGAACTTGGAGCAGCCGAAGGAGGGGGAGTCCAGCCCGCACGCGCTGCGCACAGGTTTCCCTTTGCCCCTTTCCCTGGGGCCCAAAGCCCCGGCCCAAGCCGAGCCCGTGCGGGGCCCCTGTTTGTGCCGCGGCCGCTCGGCGGAGCCGCTGCGCCCGGGACGCGAGGCCGAGAGGGACCGCGGGGAGCGCTCTGCCGCCACCCGGGCGCCCCCTCCGCTGCGCCGCGGAGCCCAGCGCCCCGACCCCGGGTTCGCGTCCCGCGCCGGTCCCCGCTGCCAGCCCGCGACTGCTCTGTGACCGCCGGAGCTCTGCCCACGATTCCCACGACCCCCTCCGCGCCCCAAACGCCAAATGCGCGCGGCGCCCGCACAGCTCCAGGGCGGTCTCCAAGCCGCTTCCGAACGAGGGAGCAGGGCAGCCGCCCTGCGCCCCGAGGTCGCTTGATGCGCGGCGCACTTGGACAATAAAAATGAGAAAGTTTCTAAAAGGATGCAGTAAGCCAGGCGTGGTGATGCGCGCCTGCCATCCCGGCACTTGGGAGGCTGAGACAGGAGGATCACTGCGAGTTCGAGGCCAGCCTGGGCTACAGAGTGGGACCCTGTCTCAAATAATGACAGTTACAACAGTAACAGACTCAGCTCACAGCACCCGAGCGCCCCGCCCGCCGAAGTGTCTCCCATACCCAAGGTCGCAGCCACCCGGGACCGCCCTGCCCTGCAGGTGACGCGGAGCGAGCACCGACCTGTGCGGGTGGCGCTGCCGGCGGGACGCGCTGGCTCCGAGGCTCCGCGCTCCGCTCCGCTCGACTCCGCGCGCCCAGACCCGACAGACCCCAGGGAGGAGCGGGCCCGCCGCAGCCAATGGGCGCGCGGGGGCGGAGCGGGGCGGGCGGCCTGGTCCCCCCTCCCACTGCCAGGGTGCCAGTGTTTGGTCTCGAAGCCCACCTGTGACAGGTGCGGGTCACGCCCCGCGGTCCCCGAACGCTCCTGCCTCGGCCTCCCGGGCTCTGTAAGGCCTGAGCATGGTGCTCCAGTCTTGGAACTGCAGGAAGCACCCGGCGGTGTAGCCTGACTGTGTGCTGACTGTCGGGGTGCTTGGGCTCCTGGGGTGGGAGCACCTCACTCACCTGCGGGATTCGGCTCCTGCCCGTCATCCTAGCACTGGCGGGCTGAGACAGGAAGACCGCGGGAGTTTCAGGCCGACCTTGCCTACACAGTGAGCTCAAGGCCTGAAGCTCTGCCTTGACCCAACACCGAGGGTTCTGAGCCGCGCGGGCGCCCGCTTCTCCCCGAGACTGGCGACCCCTCAGCGGCCGGCCTGTGCGCCTGCTTACCCGCGGCCGCATCCCGGTCTAACAGTGCTAACCAACCCCGAGCGCCCAGTTCTTCCAGGGACGACCCGGGCGCCTTTGCGCGGACCCCGTCCCAGCCCTCTGCAATACTGTAATTTTGAGACACCGCCTCTCTGGGTCGCTAAGTTGTCCAGGCCGAGCTCCAGCTCACGATCCTCCTGCTTCAGCCTCCCAGAGGTGACAAGCTTGCACCCGCCTCGGGTCTCTGCGCTGTAACCTGTTGCTGGTCGCCGAAGCCGAGGACGCTGCCTGGAGGCGCGGCCCTCGGAAGACCTCGTCCTCCCTCCTCAGCAGCCGGGAGCGCAGCGCGGGCCGGGAGCGGGGGTCGCGAAGCCCGGCACCCAGGCCTGGGAGGCGGCGTCTTCGGTTCTCCCAGCTCCAGCGCCGCGCGGCGGGACAGCGCCACCTGGCGTCCACGCGGGGCGCAGCACGCTCCGCGCCGGCTCCTGAGGGAGGCGGGGCGCCCGCACAGATTGCAGGTGTGGGACCCGGGGACGAAGCTGAGAAGGCGAGTCCGCGATGATTGTGACCGTAAACCCACACGCATGCAGGCATGGTGCCGCACGCCCGTCGTCCCAGCACTGGAGGCTGAGGCAGGAGGATCCCTGAGCTCGAGGCCAGCCTGGCCTACACAGTGAGGTCAAGTTCAGCCTGCACTACATAGCATGACCCTGTCTCAAAAAAACAAAAACAAAAACAAAACAATTATATACAACTAATAGGCATAACATTTGCTGGACAAGAATCTTCGATGCCTTGCATAGATTTAGTCATCATATAAAATGCTATATTAAAAATGCCGACTCGTCCTTTACCGCCTGAGCTCTCCAGCGCCCGCGTTCGGGGGAGCAGGTTCATCCCCGCTGCCTGGACGTAGCGGCTGGGTCCGGTCTTGGCGCTGAGTCCCCTCCCCGCCCTTCGGAGACAGCATCTGTGCCGGCGGTCCCAGGCCCGCCTGGGGTCTGCAGAGCCGCTGGGGTCTCCTCCTGCGTCCGCGGAGCTCCCCCTCCACGGGCGAGGCCCAACCCAAGTCTGCACTGTGTACACGCGTGCGCACGCATGCACACACACAACGTACACATGCAAAGGCGCGCGCGCGCGCGCACACACACACACACACACACACACACAGGTGCACGCACGCACGCGCAGTCGCCCCTGTCTTCATTCCCGGGATATTGCGAGAGGACCTTGAACTTGAGCCTGGATTCCAGGTCTGCACTTTCCCGGGGTGGTGCAGCCGCTGGCCCCCACGGCCTGCGCACAGGGAGAGGCTGCTGACGCGTGTGGGGCGGCGCGTGCAGCCGGAGGCCTCAGCCCTGATAAATAAACAGTGGGGCGATGAGCGGGTGGAAGCCTAGTCACCTCGATCTCCCCAGGCCTGAGGCTGACAAAGGACGAGACAGGGCCTGACCCAGCTCCCCGAAGTCAGCAGGTTCCCAGGACGCTTTCCCTTGTTGTGAGACAGGGTCTCACTTTGCAGTCCAGGCTGGCCTTGAACTTGCGGCAACCTCCCTGCCTCGGCTGCCTGAGTGCTGGAATGACTGCGGGCCCCAGTGAAGGCTCCAGTGTCTGAGCTGCCGGGCTTGCGCTGCCCCCCAGAGCCCCCTTACCCCTTTCCACACACGGGGGTCCCCCAGGCTTTAGGACGTGTTGGGGAGCATGGCCCCTGTTAGCACCTTAGGCCTGCAGGTGGAGGCCAGTCCCGGGCTCCCCTGTGTGCCTTGTTCTCTCCGCTCCCCCTGGGGTCGCCCCCTGGACCCTTAAACTGGGGGTGAGACGCGCCGGCCTTTCCAGCTCGCGGCCTCAAAGCTGCTGCTTCCATGGGCAGAGCGCTTCTCACATGAGGGCGCCCTTGGGGCGTGCAGGCCAGCCTGCAGCCGCCCCCAGCCCTGAGGCGCCGTTGTCACCCCGTCATTGCTCTCCACCCCTCTCGCATGTCTGGACTCTGTTTCCATTTCCCTCTTTCTCCTGTTTTCTGGCCGTGGATGTATTTTGCTGTCACCTGTCCTGAGCAGGGTGACCGTAGAACTCGGCTCTGCGGTCATTTTCCTCCAGAATTCCGAGGCTTCCTCCTGTGTTCCTTGGTCCCCGCAGGAACCCGAGGGCCTGAGCCGCACAGCGCCGTATTCCTCTTGGGGGCTGGCAGAAATCACTGCTTACTTTCAAAAAAGATAAACGTCATTTCAAGCCGGTGGGGTGGTGCACGCCTGTAATCCCAGTTCTCGGGAGGCTGAAGCAGGAGGCTCACCCCAAAGCCAAGGCCAAAAAAGAACCAAATCCAAGGCCAGCCTGGACTACCATTAAGTTGAGAGAGCGCCTCTCCCGCCACCAACTCTGGTTGGCACTGGACGCATGTGCCCGGGGGATGCCCGCTTCTGAGGCGGCGGCAGGACGTGTGGGTCAACACTCTGCTCTGCGTGCAGAGGTGAGTGTGACACTGCCTTGCACATTTGCTCCCACTTCCGGTGGGAGTGAGTGCAGCAGCCGTGATCACACTAAGGCCCTTAGCACGGCATCACTGTCGGCCCCTCTGCACTGCCGGCCAGTGCTGCGTGCTGGGTTCCCCCGTGCACAAGCCCGTGTGTTTATCAGCCCACGTGTGTGGTGTGTGATGTTGACGCCCCTTGTGTGGGTTTGGGCCATGCACGCACACCCCAGCCCTCCCCCTCCCTGTCCCGATCCCCTTCCTGTTTGCAAAAGACCCGTCTCCCTGCTTCCTGATATCCGTCTTTTACTTTGCGCTTTAATTTACTTACATTTGGGTTTCTCATGCAGTACTTCAGCTTGTGTGTCTGATTTATCCAAGCAACTCAGCATCACTGGCCATTAGAGAAATGCAAATTAAAACATCTCCAGGACTCCGCCTTACACCAGAGAGAATGGCCGTCATCAAGAAATCAAACAACATCAAAGTCTGGTGAAGCTACAGGGGAAAAGAAACCCTTCAAGCTGTCGGTGGGAGCACAAACTAGTCCAATCACTATGGAGATCAGTACGGAGGCTCTTCAAAAAACCAAATATAGGAACTGCACTCCACCCAGCTGCTCTCCTTCTAGGCATCTTCCCAAGAGAGTTCAAGATATCATATCACAGCGATCCATGCACACCCATGTCTATAGAAGCACAAATCATAACAGCTGGATCTTAGAAGCAGCTTCTCTGTCCATCAGTAGATGAATGAGTTGGGCCTGGTGGTGCACATGTGTAATCCAGTGCTTGGTAGGCTGAGGCAGGAGGATCCAGATCAAAGCTACCTTCAGTTCATAGTGAGACCCTGTCTCAAAGAAATATGGATGAAAGGATAAAGAAAATGCGACATCTACATACAATGGAGTACTACTGTGCCAGGAAGGATGAACTTGAGTCGTTGGTAGGAAAATGGATACACCTGCTTTCTTTTTATTCCATCTCTTTGGTAGGATGCAGCCCTAATATTTGTGTGAATTAAAATGTAGTCATGAAATAATATTAGATGGTGTTATGGTTTGTGTCTGGATGTCCCCCCAAGGCATCATGCAGTCATGGGGTGGGTTTCTAGAGTTTGTGATTGATTCATGGTCCAATGTTGGGATTATGGGTGTGAGTGCTATACCTGCCATGGGGCAGATAGTTTGCATACAGTGTAAGGGAGGGAAAGAGGCTGTCTGCTGCAGCTCCTCCCTTTTGCTCTTGCTGCTTTTGCTGTCTTCTGCTGTCATGAACTGTTGCCCTCTGCCATGTGCCACTCTGCTTCAGAGCCAGCCGAGTATGGACTGAAACCTCCACCAACTGTGAGCTAAATAAACTTTTCCTTTCTTAATTCTGGGTGTCAGGGATTTTGTCCCAGCAATGGGAGAAAAGTAACCAAGACAGATGGGTACAATAGAAATAAGCCATTAAAACACATGCACAAAAATGAGCACTCCTCAGGCCCTGATGAGGGTAAGATGTGTTTTCCAATCACACTTTAAGTCACTTTCCTGTCACGATGACCAGTGGGCAGAGAGGGCAGGTGACCCTGGTAGCTTTCCAGGGGCTGTCAGATCAGTTCTTCCAGAAGCCCTGCAGCCCGAAGACCAGTGTAATTGTGTGTGTTTCTGTACTGAGCTCCTTTCCTGCCTCTGAGGTCGGCCGGGGCTTCCAGCCACTGCAGTGGGGGGAACAACGCTGGTCATCAGCAGCCCCAGGCCTGGCTTGTCCTCTGGCTCCGAAAAAGCTGGGCAACTTTAAAGAATCTCAACAGCACTGAAAGATGGAGTACAGGCTGCCTGAGGGAGCTCTGCTCAGGTCTCCGGCGTGAAGGTCTAGGATCAGAACCCTTCTCCCGAGAAGCCCATGGAGGTGTCAACTCCAAAGTACAGCCTTGTTTGTAACGGGGTTTGGGAGACATTTGCTGACTGGGCTGGTTGGTTTGAGACAGGGTCTCACTATGTAGCCCAGGCTGGCCTCAGATGCACAGTGATCCTCCTGCCTCAGCCTCC